GGATGCCGGCCGGCTCAGTGGTTCTAGAGGTTAAGCGCTCGAGTGCAAGACTGATAGGTCTTAGGTTCGAATCTCGCAAGGCGAGATCGTGGATGGGCATTGCTGAGTAGTCTTACATCAGGACGAAACAGTGCTTCGAAGTTTTCCATGTTGGTCTAGTTTTAATTGACTCATGATCTCAACTAAAAAAATTCACTCTTGAAGTTGCGATGAAATTTAGAATAAAGTCATGTCTAGGAAGACGAAATCGCAAAGCATTACATATATCAATGAAAGTGTAAACATTTCTGTTATATTTAAGTAGAAGAAGAAATTTAATGAAATCAAATGTCTATTTTATACAACATATATGAGTTACTGATGACAAAATGTAAACCTAAAGGTGAGGATTGTCAAAGTAAAGATAGCATTCCTACAATTGGAGGACGTATAGGCAACTCAAAACAACTGTCAATCAATATCGAAGTGAGAATCTTCAATATGAACATCAAGACAGTCTTACTGTATGGAGCTGAAACGTGGAGAACTACTACATCCATCTTCAAGAAGGTACAGGTATTTATAAACGCTTGTCTACACAAGATACGCAGTGTTCGTTAGTCAGATACCATCAGCAACAGTATACTGTGGAGAGGACAAACTAACTTCCAAATGAAGAGGAAATAAGTTAAAGACGTTGGAAGTGAATAGGACACATGAGCACTGACTTGTAATCCTGAAGGGAAATTGAAAAGAAGAAAACCGAATCGGATACAGACAAGAAAAGGATGAATACCATCCGGAAAGCACTGGAAAGGATTGTTCAGAACAGATTTGGATAGAGAATGCTGGTGGGCGACCAGTTGTCGTCTACGAGGGGTAACAAGCGTAACTAAGTAAACAATTACTGATGACAAAAGTAGTACTAATGAATATCACACAAAGTGTTATACCCTAGCGAAGACATGAGTGCGGATAACTCCTGGGACCTATTGATGGACGATTATTCTATATATATTCTTATTGTTTAACTATTGAGTAATTAGATTGTGTATATCTATATTGATCTGATTATAAGCTTCATTTTGATCTATGGATTATTATTACACGATTTACTGTCCCTAAATTATATTCAGTTTATTGATTATTGTCTCCGACGTTCACAGCCACATTTGTCTTGATCTTGTACAAACATTCTTTTCTATTTGATGGCGTGATGAAGTCCGTCTGTCTGATATATCAACCGAGTATGCTTGAAAAAAAATGATTTGCATAACAGAAGCTGTCATTGATGTTCTTGACTTAATTGGAAGGTCTTGGCGAACAAAGGAGAAATAAGAACGCTAGACTACTCATACACGTCGAATGTCATTGTTTTGACACAATGTTAAGATTGAGAAAGTCGTATTTTCGATTGGTAAATGAATCATGTTATTAATAGACAAACATAAAATCAAAACTATTTGGAAGACAGCCTATTTTTAAAGATATACAAATAAAAATAACAAACACATTAATATTCAAATAAGATTAGTTTAAACGGATGAAAATAGAAAAAAAATAAGAGTCCTGCAGGTACATTGACCAAATATAATCATTCTATAATAAATAGAAATGAAGTTGAAAGTGTGAGTCAATTGAAGCTACAACACCATGGAAAACCTAGAAGCACTGGTTGGTCGTTTCATCCTATTATGGGAGTGTGCATCCACGATCCCGCACCCGTGAGATTCGAACCCAGGACCTACCAGCTTCGCGCCGGAGCAATTAATCGATAGACCACTGAGCCGCCTGGCATTCATCTCATGATTTCAACTATGAAAATACAAAAATTCTCCACAAAACCCGCTTCTGATCTATTCGTAGAAAATCATAAAGATGATATTTTGTTACATTTCAATGTTGATGATCTACCTCTTCGTTTTACTACTTATTTGTCTATACATTTGTAAGTTTTTTGATCATTAATATCTTACATATGGCTATTATGTAATATCTTTATAGTTTTAGGGTAAGCAATTGATTTTGTGATGGCGTCATGTTAACCAATATATATTCATTATTTGATAATTGTAACATCTTAAACAAACATTTAGTTATATGTATCTTTATATAATTGATTGATAATAAAATACTTGCAAGACGGGAGGTTTTATGGAGATAATAATAATTTACTAGTTGAATTCATGAGTTAATTAAAGCTAGACCACCATGGAAATCCTGCAAGCACTAGACGGATTGTTTTGTCCTATTATGGGACTCCTGAGTGGTGCGCATCCACGATCCCTCACTCACTACTCGAACCCAGGACATTCGGTTTCGTGCACGAACGCTTAACATCTAGACCACTAAGCCCACATCTATCAGTGTTAATGTATGACTTCAACCATTTCACGAAAATGTGCCTACGTCCACCGTTGTATTCATTGAGTCACAGTCTCACAATAGATCCTGGGTTCAAGTCCTGCGCGCGGGGTTATAGATGCGCTGGCCTAAGTAAGTTTGGGGAAGAGTTTGCTTTTTGGTAAATCCATTTTCCAAGCTTTACAATCGCAGATGTATGCTTATGTTTTAAAATGATAATTATGACAGTAATAGGGATGATAAAGATTCTGTTAAACACGACAACGGTAAACGAAATTAATAAAGGCACGAAAAAGAAACTGATAATAATGATAGTAATAAAAGATCAAGTATTCAGCATAAAGGCAGATAAAAAATTATAATTGGAATGAGAATCCCCATCGTGACAAAACATAATGTCGAAGGTGAAGTGAACTGTAACCAGGAAGATCATGGAAACAGAAACAGGTTACCTGGCTGTAAAAGATTTATAGAGAACAAGATTAAAAGCGAGCAGATGGCTGTGAAAGAAAAAAATTACGTAAAATTAAGATCACTGTAGTGATTTGAATAGAAAAAGAACGAAGCCATGATGAACAATGGAGGCTACTTTTGGCACTATTATTTCACTTAATTCAAAGTTTATAAAATGGCAACATTTAGTTTTACTTCTAGATTATTCTACAAACTGTAAGCTTTTGTTTTATGTATGATTCACTACCATACCTTCCTCCATTCCAAGACTATTACAATTTAAACTTAACCTTTTGTACACTACTCGAATGTTTAGTTTGAACATCATTGTATTTTTCTAGTTGCTTGTTGGTTGTGGTCGTGTTGGTTACTTATTTATTCATTTGTCTTTTTTACGTTAATCTGAATCACGTATAGATCGAGTAGTGTTTCAGTTCAGTCGTTTTCTCCTATGTCACCTATGTCAACCGACCAAGTGATAGAATAGTTCTTGTTTCTCTGCTCAAGGTCAGTGGTCTCATTTTGGACTCAATTATTTCTAGCTTCAAAGTTGTGTTAAGGTCTTAGCCTAGATCGTGACAAGTTCTCTCCTGTATTTGTTGGGCAGATAGATTAAGGATGAAGCAGTTAGAAGAAAATGTTGTACAAGTTTTTTCTACACACATAATTCTAGTTTTCGCAAATCTATAGTAAATGTTAGGAAGTAATGTTAGGAAGATAGAAGCTCACTAACTTTGGCACCTTTGTAGTTACCTGGTAGATAACTTTGAATTCTGAGTGTTTTAAACAAATGGTCTGTGTTCATAAAAAGTTTGATCATAGAGCTTCTTATTAAAATGATTTCACCTATTTCTTGAATTCTTTTTTTTGATAAAATACTCATTAAACAACCTCTACATGAAAAAGTGCATTGACAAATTTATATAAAATTGATTGAATCAGTCAGTCAATCACAACGTAGAACTTCGTATGTACATACATCAGTTCAAGTTACCATACCACATTAGCACAGAGATACAATCGCGATTCATATCACATAGTGAAGGAGATAGTAAAAGTATAAGCAGTAATCGGAGAGATTAGGGTTTGAAGATGTTGTTGAAAGAGTATAATCCAATAAAATAAATTTGAAAAGAGAAAAAAGATAGAGACATGAAGAATTCAGAAGACTAGAATTCGGGAGAACACAAAGGGTGGATGCACCTTCGCCATTGCAAACGATTTTGAGCCATGTCATTCAAGGTCTCTAACCATCGGTTGCTATCATCTCGCGAATCCCAACCAGGTAGTCTACACCTACCAACATGGCTCAGTCCAATTGTCAGTGACTTCAAGCACTGATACCACGTTTTGGTCTGGTCGTCCTTAGCTTTCTTCCTGCCTACTGTTACACCATAAAATATCGCACGTCTGGGCAGTCGGTGGTTGGGCATACGTAACACGTGTCTCATCCATCTCAACCGATGAAGTTTCACTACTTCATCAATCGATTTGCCATCATTACCTAATACCCGTTTCCTAACAACTACATTACTTACCCGGTGGTCCCAGGATATACGAGCAATGCTTCGAAGACACCTATGACCGAATACTAGTAGCCTACGAATATCCTCTACTCTTACCGGTCATGTTTCACTCCCATAAAGTAGGACGGAACGAACTGCTGCACAGTAAACCCGTCCTTTGGTTGCTAGACGGATATCTCGCCTACGCCATAAATGGCGCAAGTTGGAGAAAGCTAGACGAGCCTTCTGTATCCATGTTGAGATTTCGTCACACACCAGACCACAAGGGCTGATGAGACTCCCAAGATAAGTGAAGCTGTCAACATGCTGAACTACTTCACTCCCTATCATTATTTCAAGTTCATGGCCCTGTTCAATTGTCAGTAACTTCATTGATTTGTGCCACCCTGAACTTTCTTCCGAACCTACTCTTACTGAATATTGACCATTTCGAGTATATTTATCATAAAGATCATTCAATGGAAAGAAGTCAAGAATTCTTCACTTCAATATATCTATAACTTTATATTCACCTTTAAATTACACCTAACTGATTAGTTAATTATTATTATTATTATTATTATATTTAAAATTACAGACACACCATACATTAAAGACATATATAAACTAACCACTCGTGATCGATGAACAGACACACAATTCTCCAATTAAAAAAAATTATAATAACCAATCAAAATCATTCGAAATAAGACGAGGAGGGGGTGATTGTTTAATTTTTTTCAATATTATTTAATATAAAAATAATTTATCCTTTCAAATGATAAAAAAACAATTCCCTCAGCAACCACAACAACAACCACAACAAACCCCCCAGCAACAACAATAACAAACTTATATATAATGTGAATATATGAAATTTTTTAAAATATATTTTTATTGTTCAAACTCAGTATAAATTTAATCATCAAGAAAAAAAGGGATCATTCAAACAGCTTCACTTTAACTAAACACAATGTTTTCAACACCATTGAATACATCTTCATCTATACCATTCATAGAAAAATGTTCAATTCATGTACAGAATATGGAATCAGCTGTCGGTTTTTTACGTGGTTATATTAGTCCAATTCTTGTACTATTTGGTGTATTTGGTAATATGTCAGCATTTTATTTATTTTTAACACATAAACCATGGAATCGTTTTTCTATTTATGTTATTACTTTAGCTATTTCTGATAGTCTTGTCTTAATAACAAATACATTTTTAGATGATTTCCTTGGTAGAGGTTTATATTATATCACTAATCATAGTATTATTATTAAATTAGATACCTTCTCATTGTTGTCATGTCAATTAATGGAATTAATTGGTACATGGTTTGTATTTAATTCTGGTTGTTTATTAGTTGCATTTAGTATTGATCGAGTGAATTGTTTATATTGGCCATTAAAATGTCGTTCAAATGGTGGTGTGAATATGGCTATAGTAATATGTAGTATCATTGTAATCATTGGTTTGATATTAAGTATACCATATGCTATGTTACAAACTTTGATTGATAAAAATGCAAATATAACCAATATGACATTAACTAATTTTATCAATACTACTATGAATATTACTACTTCTACTACTACTCTTATGGATAATAGTAGTATAATGAGTAACTATACTATACCGAATCAAATGTATCCATTATCTCATTGTTCAGATTGTATTGATAATCATCATGATGAAGAAGAAATAATGAAAAGTAAGTGATATTTTATTTGAAATTATTTATATTCATTGAAATGTAACAATTTTATTTATTTATTTAAACACATAAATATTGGTACAAGGGGGCACCAGATATATATGCAAAACAGAAATCTCATTTGACTTGTGTGAGAGCCGTAATACTGTCCAGGTGCCCAAACCGAAACAGGTGGTTTTCTTAGGGGGCCACACCCGAAGCAACACTTTAACCTTAAGATCTGATCCACAAGGCAGTACAGGAGCATCGTGAGCGGATGCAGTCCCATGGCAGCCGGTGACCAACCATTTATTCATACGCCATTTGTTCCCCCAGAAGGATACTGGAGCCAGTCCATGTGTACCATTGATTTAGAATGAGGGTTATCCAACTCCCTCACATGAACATTCCGTGTCCACCAACCCGGTTAAAGCACCGTACATTGACTTTTCGTCCTGTCAATTTGATAAACAACAATAATGCCACTGTGAGATGGCAGTGAGTAGGACTTCCCTGACAGAGGCTATATACGCGTGGCCATGTGAGAGCATTTGGAGAAGGAGAGAGGACTCTCCCCACTCTCGGCTGTACCAGGGCATTTGGTGGCGAAGTGTAACAATACAAATTGTCAATTTTTTCGATGTAAGCTTTGTTCTTTGAACTGGATAGTTTGGTCAAAGAACTAAACCTACATTAAAATCACCCCACCTTGAGCTATAAATCTTCTCGAACATCTTATAATTGTTAATGATTAGAAATTTTAATAGGATTCTAGAATAGGTTACCATTTTACAGTGACATCATTTACTTACACCTATTACCCCTCGTGGAGGAGCATAGACCGCCCATCAGCATTCACCAGCCACCTCTGTCCTGGGCAATTTTTTCCAGTTCTTTCCAGTTATTATTCATCTTTTCATATCTGCTTATACCTTCAACTCCCAGGGTAGAGTTTAAATGGTCTGGATTATTTTTTTTCTGGTTAGCATTCTTTTAGCGTGTTAGTTTTTCTACACTATGTCTAACCCTCCTCCGTGTACCCGAGCTTGAGAACGGCAGTTACTCTAAAAGAGCTGCAGGTGGAATCAAAATGACATCATTTTAGAAAGAAAAAACAACAATGAACATAAGAAGAAGAAGAAGAAGAACAGGAAGAAGAAGAAGAAGAAGGTGAACGTCGAGTATATAATACAGTATAATTTGATAGGTTACAACAGTTATCTTTGAAGTTTATTCAATTAGAATGAATATGATAAGTAACTTTAAAAGTTATGTCGTATGTTTGAATGGTTATTATGAATTTTGTTACTTACTACTTATTATTTATTTTGTAAATATTATGATCATTTATTATTTAAAATAAATTTCTCCCATAGTTACAATACAAAAATTAACTAATCATAAATAAATTTTTTCATATGGTTAAAATCATGAGTCAATTGAAGTTAGACCACCATGGAAAACCTGGAAGCAGTGGGCGGCCATTTCGTCCTATTGTGGAACTTCTCAGCAGTGCGCATTCATGATATCGTTTCGTGAAATTCGAACCCAGGACTTGAGGAGTGATACAATAGGGTGAAACGGTCGTTCAGTGCTTCCAGGTTTTCCATGGTGGTCTAGATTCAATTGACTCATGATTAAGATTTTGAATAAATATTTATCAACTTATGTTGTATTATTTTAAACTTACATATAGTAGAATGTATTACATAAGTACAATAATAGTTGAATCCATTAGTTGATTTAAGCTAGAACATCATTGAAAATCTGGAAGCACTGAATAAGTCCCTCATGTGGGATAATGGATACATATTACTGACGAGTTCCATACTATGACTAAATAGCTGTCTAGTGCTTAAAGGTTTTCCATGATAGTCTAGTTTACTTACCATTATAAATTATAGTTGTGTTTCATTTTCTCTTATTTATTCTTTCATTCAATAATACAGTTAGTGTATAATTCAATGTGTTATTCCAATAAGAATCATATTGTTTTTTCTAAATATTGATAATAAATCATTAAATTAAATGACTACTTAATTACTTACGCCTTTTAAACACAATCGAGCATAGGCCGCCAACTAGAATTCTCCAATCCACTCTGTCTTGGACTTTCCTTCCTAGTTATGCCCAGTTGTTGTTCATTCTTCTCATGTCTGTCTCCTTTTCTCGATGTATTGTGTTCTTTGGTTTTTCTCTTCTCCTTTGGCCTACAGGATTCCATGCGAGGACTTGCCTTGTGACGAAGTTAAGTGCTTTTCTCAGTGTGTGTCCTATCCACTTCCAGTGCTTCTTCCTGATTTCTTCCTCCGCTGGATGGAATCTGGTTTGTTCTCTCCCACACTAGCTTTTTGCTGGTTGTGTCTGTCCAACGGACCCAAAGCGTTTTGGTTAGACAACTCTTAATAAACACTTGTATCCTCTGGATGATGGCTTTCGTGGTTCTCCAAGTTTCCACCCCATACAATAGAACTGTGTGTAAATAAATGACTAGACTTAAGTTAATTGATTTTAGTCACAAATAGACTGTCATAAACATTATCTTTGAGCATATCAACAAAGTGATCAGACAAGATGTGTTCAGGCGACGAAATATTACATTTAAAAGAATCAGTGAGATTTCTCATTTGAATGCTTAAAAGTGACGAACAAAGATCTATGAGTGAATTTTTTATTTTATTTGTGTTCTATCAATGCTTGACATGAATCTACATCTACAATGATAATGCATAATTAAAGTTTCGAATCAGTTTTTTCAGTTTATAGTGTGTTGTTCAGAATATACACAAAGTGTAGTCAACAAGGAAGGATGAGTTACACCAGGGTCTTAAAAATGATTTCTTATCGATTGTGTCTTGTGTTACTCAATCAATCAGCTAAAGCGTAGGACCAGGCACATATATGCATCGGTACAAGTTGCCACACCTCATTAGCACAACAACATGAGCAGCGAATTCATAAAACTAGTTAATTTAATGGTGGTAATATATAAAAGAAAGGTTGTATATAAGGATATAGTACAAGAAGAAAGAGAGATATGAAGCAATTTTAATCTCAAGGTTTAAGGGAAGATAAAGAGTGTATACACCTGCGCCATTGTGATCGATTTTGAGCCATGTCACGCAGAGTATCCAACCATTGGTTACGATAGTCGGACCACAACCAAGTAGTCTACATCTACCAACATGACTCAGACTAGAATTTAATGACTACAAGCACTGATGCCACATCGACGTTTGGCCATCCCTGACTTTCTTCCAACCATCCTCAATACTAGTCAGCATAGCGGGTTGTGGTAATCGATGTCCAGGCATACGTAACATGATTCATGATCTCATCAACTGATTTCCCATCATTCCCTAAAACTCTACGTCTAACCTCACTAATAATTACCCGTGTACATTTAGTGTTATTTCTTATGTTTAATGGTTGAAAAAACGTTACACGAAATCTCTTAACCACAGTTTAGTGGTCATCGAAACTCATCAATAAGGTATACCGAAATATTGATGAAACTAACTTTCCTTGTGAAATATGAACGCATATCATTCGGTTTCACAATCTCCAATCTTTTCAGTCCCCTTGTAGGACTGAAATATTTACTTTGGTCAGTAATCTTATTAATAACCAAAGCCTTAAATTGCTGATTAAATTTTTTGGATCACCACCCTTATAGCAGAATATAATGCACGCAATAGCAAATAATTTGGATTGATGTTTTTAGTTTCATGTGTGCATGTGTGTCTGTGTACATTTGAAAGTAAATTTCGTTGGCATGTAAAAGGGAATGTAGACAACAACAAAAATAACAAAAAAGTGTCACAGTCACATTTTTTTTATTGTTTTTCCCTTAACTTTATTTTTGGACCTAAATCACTGTTTACATTGTAGGGAATGGTATTTCATTCATTTTGGAATTTCTTCTCTATTTTCTTTTCTTTTTTTTTCGATGCATCCTACGAAGTTATAGATATTTATATTCTATATTAAGATTTTTTTTCAGATTTCTTTGATTTTCATTTTTTGGTTAAATGAATATGGGAAATCTTTTGGAACATTGAACGATGATTGATTATCCCCCCTCTCTTTCCAGCCATAGGAACATGGTGAAGCTTGGTAGGTCCTTCTGAGGAAGAAGAGTGCTACATCGAAGCATGGCACAACTACTGGGTCTCAATAGCTGTTTTTGCACTGCTTACGCAGAACCATTACACCCCCTTTGTGGGGGGGGCAGACTCTTTTTTTTCGAATCAACAATAATTATGCAATGATTATTTGTAGCAATCACAATCATTTGTGTGTATAGATAGAGTGGTTGATTAGGCCGATCTCTTCCACGTGTGTTACCGCTCACGATGGTACTTGGGATTAGTGCCATGATCTAGTCGGGTTTTGCCTCCTGATGATTGATTATAATGATATCTTATTCGAAATCTAGAAAAGAAACCTATCACTTAGAATTTAGAATATTCTATTTCGACTATAGTCTAGCATTCTAAACTTTGACAGTTTGTACATTACAACCGGCAAGAATAAGGTTGAACTCAGGTCGAACCAGACTTAACTCCTATCGATCCGATGATATCTATACGTTTTCCATTCTTCAGTCATAAATCCGTTAAATGAACCCCTCGAATAAACCCCTATTATTTTTATCTAAACACTGTGAATGTTCATGTCATTAGCTTGCATACATGAATAATCAACCACCACGGCGCTCCAAATAAACGATCATTTTATAGTTGAGTTCATGATTTTATGTAAGCTAGACCACCATGGGAAATCTGGAATAAGTGGAAAGCCATCTCGTCCTAGTATGGGATTTCCATGATCTCGCACACGGGATTCGAAGCAAAAACCTATCGGTCTCGCGAGCGAAAGCTTGATCTCTAGAGCACTGAGACGGTATTCAACGGTGTTAATGTCTAACTTCCTGGTCCTGGGTTTGAATTTACCGTTCAGGATCATGGGCGCACACTGCTCAAAAGTCCCATGCTAAGACTAATCTGCCGTTCAGT